TAAAATCAAGTTGATATATATCCAAGATCTTATTTAGAAATTGAATTATTTACAAAAATATAAAATCAATGCTATACAAAATGACTATTTTTTCATATGTTCTATCTATAGACAAATTCGGTTCAAATATTAAGCAATATAAAAAACAGATATTTTGATTTTAGAACCTTTAAGTAACAATGGCGAATAATAGGCAAATTATTAAATTCTGTTGATAAGTACAATAACACATACATTGCTACAATTTATAAACATACGGTAATATTTCTAGAATAGTTCTAGAACTCATTTTCAAACTTTATTTTATTCCAGTACGGATAGTAATACCTGTACTATTACATTCTTTATTTGATAACATTAACACTTTTTCTTCTATCAACGGTTTCTTCTATATTTTTAATATAAGAATGTCAAACCTATTGCAGTCGATATATATTTTATTTATAATTATATTTCCATATCTTACCATTACACAAATGTGATGAAGATGTTTCAAATTTTTTTTAATATTATACTCATGTATAGTTATATTATGCTAACTATGTCTTTAATGATGATCTTTTAAAGAGTTGGAACTTTAATTTTTTATGTATTGTAAATTTTTCAATATTTTATGAAAATGAGAAAGAATTGCTCGGAATGTAGCATATTTTTTATTGTAATATTTTCCATTTCATAAACTTTTTGACATTTTTAAAATCTTTTTTATTAAAATTCATTATAAATATATCCAAATTTAAATGCATGATTCAGAATTATTTTTTACAGATAATTTTCATGTACTTAAAAATTGAATTGATACTGTAGTTATTAAATCTTTACTATATGACATAAATTTTAAAGATATAAAGATAAAGAAATATTCTCAATCTCCATAATTTTTTGAATAATAATGGAACAACTTGGGATTGATTATTAGATATCATTTCATATATTAACTATTTGCATAGAATTCTAAGATAATTTATTCTACCAACTCTTTTTTTTTCTTTTAATATAGTTAGCAAATTTTTATAAATGTACATGAAAAATGTATATATTTTATACATTAAAACATACAAAATTCGCTACTTTATTCTCATTTTTATTGTAATTTCATTTGTTTTGTTTTAATTTTATAATTATAAAAAACTGTAACTGATTAATTATTAAATAATACTTTTTGAAAAATTTCAAAATAATTTGTTTTTTCATTTGCTTTTAATTTTTTTAATACAAAAATAACAATGTTGCAATATTATATAATTTTTTTAGCATTTTCTTGAAACTGTTGCAAAATGAATAGAAATTTTTAATCAAAATAAACAATTTTTTATTATTTTTATTTTTCATTTTCAATTCTATTCTCAGTCATATGCATTGCACTTTCAAATATAATTAATCAAATTTTAAATATATACATTTTTTAAAAAATAAATCCATATTTTCATATTAATACTTATTGCATTAATTATAATAAAAAACAGAAAATTTATAAGAGAAAAATCAATTTTCACTGCAGTAAGGACGAATTAATATTCATCATTGTTCTTTTAGTGTTACAAATATAATACTTATACATCATGTAAAAGTATATACTCGCTTTTTTAAATATAATTATTAGCAGAAGTTTCAAATACATTGCACGATTAATTCTACTATTCACATGCTGAATAAAATGATGCACCTTACTGCATTATGACATAATTGAAAATATTTAATCATATCAAGGCATCGACTTATTTTACTGAATTAATTTTTTACTAAGAATGATTAATTGTATAATTTATTTCAAACATACTATAGCTAGATTTAAAAATAGCTACAATAGATTAATTAGATTCATTTTTTATTGCTAAGTAATTTGACTGAGATTTAGATTTTTATTAATTTAAAAGCAATTAATTGAAGATAAAAAATTAAAATTATGCAAAATATCTGCGTTAAAATTCAAAAATAAAAAAAAAATAAAATTAAAATGATTCAGCCTACTTCGGTAATATATGGCATCTTAAAGATGATTTTCAATGATTTTCAAACATAAATTATTTACAATAATTTATCATTATATTAACTTTAAATTGCTTTGTTAAGTATATAACTTATTATATATAAGTTCTTGAAAACCAGAAAGTTATTGCGATAATAGTACCACAAGCTATATATTAATGTTAATATATTTATCAAATTTTTGTACTGAACTAAATAATTAAAACAGTGCAACTTTTCAATTCATTTGTATATGTATACGAGTATTATGCCTTTTGTTAGATATTTATAATATAATAAACATAATGCACAAAATTAAGAAAATTTATTGCACAGAATAAAAAAAAAGAAAAGAAATGCGATAACTTTCTAGCTAAAAATCAAATATGAATATTATTCTGTGTAAAAATGTTATCATAGATACTGTAATCTTATTGTTCAAATAGTGTATATGATTACAGTAAGTTATTAATGTTGAGAAAAGTATTAAATTAATTTTTATGAATCATATGAAGATGAACCATGATCATGAGCAGGACTTGGAGGTGTCGATGGATTTGAACTGTTATTTGAAGCTATTGAATGTCTAGGACTTCCACCAGAAGTGTGTTCCTATATTAGTAAAAAATTTCATATATTTATCAAAATTTTTTTAATTTTTTAATAAAACATTTTAAATGTTTACTATTTATCTTTTTATGTTTGATTCATATTTTTCACAAAGAAAAAAATTACCTTATCATGTAAAGATGCAATGCTACCAAGAGAAAGTGGAGTATGCGATCGTAGATGCACAGATTCCGAATCCACTTGGTCCACAGGAGTACGTGGTAATGAAGGTGGAGTAGCAGTTGGTCTTGGTGGTGCCGGTCCTCTACGTGATGATGTTGAACCTAAAATAAAATATAAATATGTCCATAAATTTATAAATTTATATATAAAAAATAATATATATGTAATTATATGTAATTTCATATATTTATTACCATTATGTGGCGAATATCCAGAATTTCTAGATATATGAGAACTAAGACGTCGAGTATCAGAAGGTGGGTGCCTAGGAGGCAATGGTGCTGGTTTACTTGATGTTTGAATTGCAGGACTATATAACTAGACAAAAAATATATATGTACATATTCAATAGATAAATGAAATTGATTCTTTTATTTGAAAAATCTGATTTTTTAAAATGTCTTTAAAAAAAAATATTTAAAAATATAATTTAATTCTTACTCTTTGTTGGCTGCTATGAAGATGAGAACTACTGTGATGACCGGTATGTTGTTGATCAGCTGTTTCGAGTGTAGTAGGCAAGTCTAACAACCGCTGAATCTGTAATATATACATAGATACATATATATATATATATATTTTATAAAATATAAAATTCATATATATAAACAAAATTGAAATTTGAACTTACCTGTATTCCATTACCTGGACCCATATGACTAATATGATTAAAATTTGTTGGAGCGGATATCATTTTGGAACGTCTATCAGTGGGACGAATAGCCCTATTTCCTTCTCTTAATGAAAATCTTCTTCGCGGTTTTGTCATTTGTCTACCAGTTGGATCTAATGGTGTTAAATTAAGTAGTTCTCCTAATTATATTAAACCGAAAATTATATTAATTATACCTTATATTCAATCATACGTATTTGTTGTTATTAAATTAATAAAATATACTAACGTTGATGTAAATTACTCAAAAAAATAACATGTGGCATATCATTAATGATACAAGAGGTCAGAGAACCTGAAGTATTTAGTGGTCGTGCTCGTTTTACATTAAGTGTTTGCAACCAGTCTCCAGTTGTACAATCAAACACATCGATGTGAGTTTCACTATACACTAATAAATAGCCTTCACAATAACCTATAATACAAATATAAAATTATGATTTTATTTTAATACATTTTATATATTCTATATTATATGAAATATACTTACTAACTGCTGTTGGAACAGCAGGATACATAATTTCACGATCTCTACTCTTTCTACCTTGGCTATCAACATAAACTGCCAAAGTATGGAAGACTAATAAAAATTCACCACGTGGCAATTCAATACAACGTAAAGCATCCACAGCACTATATGTAAGAAAACCTAAGAGAGTATTCTCAGAATGGACCAATGCTAAAATATAAAATGAAAAATTTAAATCAAATATATCAAAAAAGAAGAAACTAATTTAAAATAAAATTTATTTACAAATAGGATGATGGTCTCCTAAGATGCTGTAGATAGAAAATCCAGAAGGATACCCAACACAGAAACGACCTTCAGAAAGAATTTGTAAAGTTTGTGCGTGACATGATAACATCAATTCACGTATACGTTTATGACGTGTTTTCGTACGTGTAATTTCATAAATAATGATTTGTGATGTATTCTGAATCGAAAAAAAAAAAAAAA